CGAAAGTCGTGCGTCGTGGAATTCGCCGAGAAGACGAGTCCGTAAGATGCGATCTTGGGGCACTACTAACAAGTCCTTTCCTCTCGAGTGAAGGAGAAGGAACCCGTCGGAAATCCGATAGTGACTAGCCGGCGGGTGATCCGATGAAAGCTCTGCGTAAAGCGTAAAGTAAGTCGGATCGGACTTGTAGCCTTTGACGAAATGCGGCTGCAGATCGTCATCGAGGTCGAATGTCGTGGTCACAATGGCGCAAAAGTTGGGCCGTCGTGAGAGGGCGTCTGCAGCTCGATTGGCGGGACCGGGGATGTGACACGGGTCAAAATCGAACTGGTCGATGTAATACATCCATCGACCGATCGTGCTAGTGACCGTGTCTTGCATTTTGTAAAAGGTCAACGGATTGTTGTCCGTATTCCATTTAAAACGCCGACGTCCGAGAAGAAAGTGGCGCCACCGTTTGAGAACGGTGACGAACGCGAGTAGCTCTTTCTTCCTAGTGTCGTCGAGAGTGTTGACGAGAGGCACCTTTTGGGAGAAATACTCAACCGGATGCCAACCGTCCTCGTGACACTGTTCCAACACCGCACCAATATCGTATCCCGAAGCGTCCGTAGTCACTTGGGTGGGTAGGGTGGGGTCGTATATACGGAGGGTAGGTGCGGCTTGCATCGCTGCCTTCAACGTAGTGAACGCGCCACGGGCTGCGTCGTCGAACTCGAAGGGCACCTTCGGGGACTGAAGTCTCGACAAAGGCGCGGCCACTTTCGAGTATGACTCGACGAATCGCTGATAATATCCAGCCAAACCCATGAAAGAGCGTACATCCGTCGTGCAACGGGGTTCCGGCCAATCCACAATGGCTTGGATCTTGTCCGCTAAGGGACGAATGCCTTTCGGCGTGACAAAATGGCCCAAGTACTCAAGCTCTTGCCTGGCGAATTCGCACTTGTTGAGATTCGCTTTGTACTTGGCTAGTCGCAAACGATTCAAAACAACGCGAAGGTGTACGATGTGCTCGTCCAACGTTCTACTATAAACCAAGATGTCATCCAGGTAGATGAGGACGCTACGATCGAGCAAGTCGCGAAACTCAGTCGTCATCTCTGCTTGAAACGTTGCGGGGGCATTGGTGAGTCCAAATGGCATGACAACCCACTCAAAATGCGTGTACCGCGTCTTGAGCGCAGTTTTGTACCGGTCTTGAGGCTGGATTTCAA